TCGGCGGTCTTAGGACTGCTGGCTGGAGACTACACTGCACTGATGAGAGTCAAAGAGCTCGAAACCGGTCTGTGGTTGTCTAGCGGCCTGGCTTAATTGAAATCAATAGGCATTCAGGAAAGAATCACTTGTATCAGTATTCGTTTAAACGAGTCGATGCATAGATTTCGGGAGGATGTAATTCAATATCCTGCGTGGCATTAGCCAGGGAAGTAGTTGTTTTTCTCCCGAAATCTACCATTGTTGTTCATTTTTTTATGAACACTGGGTGGAAATGACTGTGAGCTTTTCACATTTATTTACTATTTCATTCCACTGTGAGCATTGTGGCTATTTCGTAGTTGTTCCAATCACTATCTTGAGGAAAATGATTGAAGAATTGCACTTTCCGGTGCGGAAATTTGCACTTTGATTTCGCGATTTTTTTTATCGCTTGGAGCGCACGAAAGGGAATCCCTATAATGTTCAAAGAACATCGTGCGTTCCTAGGGAGGATAGGGATAGGAGGTAGGTATTGGAATTTTTTTTTGAACTTCTGGAGATTATATGTTGTTGGGAATACTTCCTCGGGCAATGAATTCCAGAGCCTAGCCGTTCTATGGATGAAGGAGTTTTGATAGAGTGCTTTTCGACATCTTTCGAGGTTGACAACGAAAGGATGTGCTGACTGGGCTTGTCTAGTTCGTCTGACTGGTATTGCTAGTGAAGGGATGATAGCAGAGATTTCCGAAGCACATTTCCCGTGGAAGTATCGATAGAAAAGTGAAAGGTCACCGACCTTTCTACGGTGTTCCAATGATACCGAGATAAGATTTATGCCCTCCAATTTAATGGTAGATCTGAGCAAGGGCGTCGCCAGCGGAAAAAATAGGGGGGGGCACCATAAAAAAATTGAAGAGAAAAATCAAATAGAATGAGAAAATCAAAAAACAGAAAAAAATCTATACAGTAAATCAGTTGAAAAATAATCTTCTAGGGTTCTTTGGGAATTCGTTGGTCACTTTTTGACGAAATCGTTCAAGTTTTTGAAAATATGTTGCCTGTGTATACTCATCATTGCGAGACCATTGAGTCGAGCATCATACATGGTGCTCCTCAACCAGGTTTTGATTCTCCTAAAGTTACTAAATGACCTTTCAACTGTACAAATCTTACAAGGTAAAGGCAACAAGGATCTTCAGAGCCTTCTTAACTTCAGGAGAAAAATATACTTTCGGAAGTTCTTTGCTCAAAGTGAGCGTTATCATAAGTAATATCACGATATTCTTAATATTCGAGATAATTCTGTCGCCTCATTGTTCACGAAATTGTGTTGCTGAGCAACACCACGAGTCAGGACGAAAGGTTGGGCTGTACGGCAACACAATAGATTTGACAAGGAAATGAAGAATTATGAGAATATATTCAGAACAGAGTGGAGACTATTTCACGTTCACGAAGCAAAGAAGCATTTATTTTGAATGAATGATTCATTCTGACTAGTACAGTCATTATTTTTTGCCAAATTGACAGACTTCGCTTCGCTACCCATGGTTACATCGTTGAAAACATCTAATTTTCGCGATAAGCACACGTTTTCTCTGGCTTGTGATTGGTCAGATTATGTGATGAATGAAATAGTCGTTTCAATGATAGCAGGGTGACTGGTGAGCGTTAAACGTAGGGGGGGGCAGCTGCCCCACCCTGCCCCTCTCTGGCGACGCCCTTGGATCTGAGAAACCTACCTGTGCCACCCCTCAGTCTGAGCCAAATCCACGACACAGCGATTAATTTGCTCTTATTATTTCGAACATCCTTCCGTCATGTGATATAACGAGTTGAAACAAACGGGCGATTGGAAGGGAAAAAATGTTTCTTTTGCGAATATCGAAACGTGCCGCGATTCAAACTGAGAGTGTCAATAATTCCGTAAATATTTCGTCCTCGTCGAAAGATAACACTGGTCCATCGGATAATATACAGGGTTTCTATAAATAATCGTAACATATCGTAGTAGCCGTTGAAATATTTTCTCCATTTGCCGCCTTTCATTTATGGAGATTCACATATTCGAATTTAATTCCTGTCATCAATCATTCTGTTCATTTATTGTAATGTCTTATTGTCGAAATGGCACATTCATCAATGGTGGATGAAGTTGCTCGGTATAGTAGCCTGCAAGGATGAGTACCTGGCGAAATATCCTAATGTACAGATTCAAGAATCTTCTTTGAAAGCCCACATCAGAACAGTGATCAACAGATTCATCCAAACTGGAAACGTTAATTAATAAAAGGAAATCAACAGGAAGGCCCCAAATATCGGAAGAGGTTGCCGAAAATCTAAGGGCGCGTGTTGATCAAAATCCCCAAACGTTGAAGAGATTATCTTTACAATCTGGTGTGCCACTAAGTACATGCCATAAAGTGCTCAAGAAAAGATTGCATATGCACCCTTACAAGGCCAGTGTACTACAGCAACTTCTGCCAATAGATATCTCACGTTGTCTGGAGTACTGCCAATGCTTCCAAAATAATCTCAACGATGATCAGCTATGGACCTAACATTTTTCAGCGATGAGGCTTGGTTTCATTTGTCGGGCTACGTGAACTCACAAAATTTTAGGTTTTGGAGATCTGGGAATCCCCACAATTTTATCGAGACTCCACTACATTCTCAAAAAATTGGGTTGGTTAGCAATTTTTCGAATGCGAATATATGGACCGATTTTCTTCGATGGCACTATCAATGGTGAAAGGTACAGACTTACAGACAAGTGATGTTAGAACCATTCATCAATCAACTTGATGATGAAGAAATTCGAGTTGGCAAGATGGGGCCACTGCCCACACCACACGTGCAAATTTAGAATATTTACAAGAATTTTATGACAACCGTGTGATACGTCGAGGAGTTGATCCTTCTTTTCCAACACGTTCTCCAGATTGGACGCCTTTGGATTTCTGCCTTTTTGGATATTTGAAAGACGAAGTATTCAATAGAGACAATAATAACCTTGAAGAGCTGCAAGCCTCAATAACACATTGCTGCCAAAATATTGGCCCAGAGTTTTGAAATGCTTGGAGAACATTTTGAACATTTGATGTAGGTTAATGAAATAAACCGTTATTTATTACTTCTTTAATACATATTTTTGATTTGTTCCATTACTTTTCAAACTCCAATATTGGACTCTCCTTTCTTTGAGATACATTTCCATAGTGTATGCAAAACGATATAAAAAATTATCCTGTATATGATCACTTCCTCTCTTTTGGCTCGCTTTTTGATCGTTAAATGTTGTTAACAGCATTAGTAGAAAGCGGCAAATGGAAAAAAATGTCAACAGCCACTACGATGTTACGATCATTTATAGAGACCCTGTATCTTCAGAGGGGGGCGAAATATTCTCGGAAGTATTGACGCTCTGCCACTTACTTAGATCAGTTTGAATCGCGACACGTTTGGATATTCGCAAAGGCGACATCATCCCATTCTATTTGCTTCTTGTTTCAACTCATTATCACATGACGGAAGTATGTCCGGAATAATTGCAACAAATAAATCGTTGTGCTGTGGATTTGGCATAATATTCTCATCTCGTTATCAAATCGCGAAATCGAGAGCAAATTTCCGCACAGGAAAGTGCAAGTTTTCGATTATTTTGCTATGGATAGTGAATGGCACAGGTGCCGTTCGATAAACTAAGTACAATGTTTTTACAAGCCTTGGGGGCATATATCATTTTGTTATCAGATGACGGTTCTTGGACTATAACGTGAATACCGCAACACGCTACCCAGCGAGCACAAACATCCCTGGGATGTTTTGGGATGTTTTGAAAATGTTGGCATGAAGATGTTATTTTGAGACGTAATATGCACTGACCAAAGAGGTCTTTGAAGGATATTGAAGTATTGTTTTTGTTCTTCTGTGGCATTTCTTTGTTTGCCTACTGAGAGGTATCCCTGGGATGTTTTGGGATGTTTTAGAAATGTAGGCATGAGGATGTTTTTTTGAGGCGTAATATGCACTTCCCAAAGAGGTCTTAGAAGGATATTGAAAGTATTGTTTTTGTTCTTTTGTGCCCTTTCTTTGTTTGCCCCACCACAACGTCTCATGCTTACGTCACAATACGATGAATTCTGATTTGTTTTCGATTTTGTTCTTCTTGTTCGCGATTGGCATTCGCGTTTGCAGCGTGTCACGCTTACATCACGCTGCTAACGAACAGAAAGGAATTTGGTGAAGTTTATTGTGTTAGAAGACTTATTTAGTTTGTAATAATGACCATCAGATGCAAGATGTGTTGTTCGGTGCCTCAGTGTAATCAATGTATAAAAGTACGAATTCATCAATACACAGCTTCTCCGCAGTTGCAAAATTATGCATTGTGGAGAACATTTCAAAAATTGGGAAACCTATTTCCAATTATATGTCTGTGTGTAGTAAGCACTACTCAGAAACCGATTAAGAAGGTAATTTCATATCAAGAAAATATTTGTATGTTCAATCTATTTTTAATGCATTTTTTCATTCAAGGGAAATGAAATCCTAATGCAAAAGTTCATTTTGACAAAAGGTTTCAGAAAAGTACCTCGAAAATGGTTTTTTCACAGCGATTTAATGTGCGCAAGACGCATTGAAAATGTTCTGTTGTGTCCATGAAAAGGCTTTAAAAAGAACTAGGGAGAAGGTAGTTTTGTGACATATCAAGGACATCTCGATAATTGCCGCCTGCGGCGGACATTGGCTGTTCTATAATAGTTCTATTCATGTGTGAACAGAACATCGCAGTGGAGGTTCAATGTCTCGAAATCTCGTACTTTTAACATCTCTGAGATGTTTTTGTGCTCGCTGGGTATCTCCAAAGATATCTGAGATATCGAGTAAAAGCATCGAAAACAGGACACACTGTACATTATTATTGTGACTTGCATCCTCCCCCGTGAGATTATTTCTGCGGACGCCCCTGGTGCTGTATTTCTGTATATTCTGCGACAGAACGAAAATAAACTCACCACCGCTACTCGAGCATCCCAAATTCCGCTCTTATCCAAAACGAACTCGTCCAAAGGAATTGTCGGTATTTCTACGTCTTGCAGCCCCGAAGTGATGATGCCGGGTGCATTTGTAGTTTTTCGGACGACCGTTACGGCCACCCTCAGATTCGCAACCCCCTTCGAAAGTTCTCGACACCCCAGGCGCGGTACCAGAAACATAACAAATCGATCGCAAAACCACCGCTTCGAAAGGTGTTTCTCCGTCCGTGGATTACAAATAACTGACAATATATATATGTTGTGGCAAGCTGTGGACGCACGGTGAACAGCTCTAAGCAGTAGTTTCACCTATCGCTGGCACGATGGACTTATAGTAGGAGAGCCGGCTGCAAATTTTTTTTATCGCTTGGAGCGCACGAAAGGAAATCCCTTCAATGGTCAAAGAACATCGTGCGTTCCTAGGGAGGATAGGGGCAGGAGGTAGGTATTGGAATTTTTTTTGAACTTCTGGAGATTATATGTTGCTGGGCGGAAATCTTGCTCAGGAAATGAATTCCAGAGCCTAGCCGTTCTATGGATGAAGGGGTTTTGATAAAGTGCTGTTCGATATCTTTCGAGGTTGACAACGAAAGGATATGCTGACTGGGCTTGTCTAGTTCGTCTGACTGGTATTGCTAGTGAAGGGATGATAGCAGAGATTTCCGAAGAACATTTCCCGTGGAAGTATCGATAGAAAAGTGAAAGATCCCAGACCTTTCTACGGTGTTCCAATGATATCAAAGAGTGAGTGAGTGTGGCGTCAACCACCAGCCGAATTGCTCTTCTCTGGATGGAATATAAGAGCATCAGCGTATGTTTTGGTGCTGAACCCCATATGTGGGAACAGTATTCTAGAACAGGCCGTATCTGCGCTTTGTAGATCATGAGATGCTGTTGTGGTGTAAAGTAGCTTTTCGCACGAAACAAGAATCCGAGTTTTTGTGGAGCAGCTTCTGCGATGGATCTGACATGATTATCCCATGAAAGAGTGTTGCTGATGAAAATACCGAGCATAAATATGGTGGGCTTGGTGGGGATGGTGGTGCCAGACATTACAATGTTGGGCATACTGAGTTCCGCCTTTCTAGAGAAAATACAGGCTTGAGTTTTGGTGGCGTTGAATTCAATTAGGTTGTTGGTTCTCCAGGCTGTGATTTCATCCTGGGAAGAAATGGGAATTCTGGAAGAGAACGCAGTATAGAGGGTACTATCATCTGCAAAGCTGTGGATGGGGAAAGTTGTTACTCCCAACAGATCATTGATATGAAGAAGGAATAATGTTGGTGCCAAAATTGATCCTTGTGGAACGCCGGAATTGATGCCAATGGTATCAGACGATACACCGTCCACCACCACATGAAGCGATCTGCCTGAAAGAAAACTCGATAAGAGATGGCATAGCTGAGGTGGTAGCCGTATGATGGTAGTTTGTGGAGGAGTCCTTCGTGCCAAACACGATCGTCATCTGATAACGAAATGTTGTGTCAACCAATTTATTTGACAAGCCATAACTTCTATAATATTCGGTGTATCAGAATGAAATTTGATATGGGTATATCCCAGACAGCACACGATGTCCCGAGGACGTACATATGACGTCCGATTCGTGTCCGTTCGTCCCGGAACCTATTATAGACGTCCTCAGAACGTACCTTCTCGTACGTCTTCGGGACGTACAGAGCGTACGTTTTCAGGACGTCTATGTTTTGTCTCAAATCCATTATAGTTTTCAATGATGATAAACTATTGCCAAATGTGATCAAATGGTGGAGTGTTTCTGCACTCAATGTATATTATGTTTTCTTCTTACTTGCATGTTTTGAACAGAGGTAAGTCTGATATTTCAATAAGTGTTGTGTAGAGTAATAGTTAGAGCATCTGCAGTTGAGAAGGTTTTTGGTTTTCATTTTATTTTCCTCCGAACCCCGCGAATCTCGCCACCGCTGATGTATGAACAACCCTACACCCCTTGGTACATTCAGTGGTATTTTCCTTCCTCTCTTTCAATATTGGTTACTTTCCTCTCTCAAGACTCTATTGTCATCCGTCAGTTGTTCAATATCATCCTTCAAGTGTCCTTTGTAGTTTGTAAATTCGTCTTCGAGTTCATCAATTTGGGTAGCAAGATGAGTGCCCAGCGAGCACAAAAACATCTCAGAGATGTTAAAAGTACGAGATTTCGAGACATTGAACCTCCACTGCGATGTTCTGTTCACACATGAATAGAACTATTATAGAACAGCCAATGTCCGCCGCAGGCGGCAATTATCGAGATGTCCTTGATATATCACAAAACTACCTTTTCCCTAGTTCTTTTCAAAGCCTTTTCATGGACACAACAGAACATTGTCAACGCGTCTTGCTCACATTAAATCGCTATAAAAAAACATTTTCGAGGTACTTTTCTGAAGCCTTTTGTCAAAATGAACTTTTGCATTAGGATTCCATTTCCCTTGAATGAAAAAATGCATTAAAAATAGATTGAACATAAAAATATTTTCTTGATATGAAATTACCTTCTTTATCGGTTTCTGAGTAGTGCTTAGTACACACAGACCAGAGATTCATCAAGTCAAGTAGCTTGATATATTAAAAAACTACTTGACTTGACTTGAAAATCAAGCTCGTGGTAAATTACGTACTCGACTTGACTTGAATTTGAGATATTTATTACTTGACTTGAAATCAAGCTACTTGATAATACTTGATCTTGATAAGTTGATACGCACGAGTCGCACGGCGTATATTTCTGCAATCTCGCTCACGCTTAGACAAAATACGGGGGTTCCCTGAGATCCGAGCTGACTGAAACGATCTCGCAGTCAGTCTTACGATGCCATTTTCATTCCATCAATTATATACAGGGTGACTCACGGTCGATGGTAGGTTAGACGTTCACGTTTATGATAGGAACGCAACACAGGATTTTTCTGAAAATTTCGCATCTCACATTTCATCACCGGTACTATCGATCTAATATATATTCAAAATCACGACGTTGCCGCTTCTATAGAAAAGTAGGAACCACTTTGATATTTCGAATTGAACACCCTGTATTTTATTGCATTTTTAGATTCTCCTTGAAGAGTTGATTTCATCGATACATCACACTCGGGGTATAGCGAAAATGATTATGGAGATATAGAGTGCGAAAAATCGAGATTTTTCAACTTCAGGAATTTTTTGTGTATGCGAAATTTTCAGAAAAATCCCGCGTTGCGTTCTCCATAAACGTCTAACCTATAACATCGACCGTGAGTTACGCTGTATAGATACACAATAAAACTGCTGAAAATCAAGTAGCTTGATAGAACTACTTGATTTTTCCAGTACTTGATAAATAATTACTTGACTTGACTTGACATTAAAAAACTTTCGCTTGACTTGAACTTGACTTGATTTCAAGTCAAGTCAAGTCAAGTAGCTTGAATATCAAGTCAAGCCGTGAATCTCTGACACAGACATATAATTGGAAATAGGTTTCCCAATTTTTGAAATGTTCTCTACAATGAATAATTTGCAACTGCGGAGAAGCTGTGTATTGATGAATTCGTACTTTTATATATTGATTACACTGAGGCACCGAACAACACATCTTGCATCTGATGGTCATTATTACAAACTAAATAAGTCTTCTAACACAATAAACTTCACCAAATTCCTTTCCGTTCGTTAGCAGCGTGATGTAAGCGTGACACGCTGCGCAAACGCGAATGCCAATTGCGAACAAGAAGAACAAAATCGAAAACAAATCAGAATTCATCGTATTGAGACGTAAGCATGAGACGTTGTGGTGGGGCAAACAAAGAAAGGACACAAAAGAACAAAAACAATACTTTTAATATCCTTCTAAGACCTCTTTGGGAAGTGCATATCACGCCTCAAAAAAACATCCTCATGCATGCCTACATTTCTAAAACATCCCAAAACATCCCAGGGATACCTCTCAGTAGGCAAACAAAGAAATGCCACAGAAGAACAAAAACAATACTTCAATATCCTTCAAAGACCTCTTTGGTCAGTGCATATTACGTCTCAAAATAACATCTTCATGCCAACATTTTCAAAACACCCCTAAACATCCCAGGGATGTTTGTGCTCGCTGGGTGTTTTGTAATTTTATAGAAGCAAATTGTTCCTTCGACTCTTTCAACATGTTCGCCACATCTTCTTTGGTGTAGTCGCTCAATCGCTCATATCCGAAATTAGCAGCAAATCACCCGTGCTAAGCGAATATTAGAAATCGAGCATATAGGTGAAACTGTTTTTATACGAATGAGTGAATGAATGAATGAGGTTGCAGCTATGTTTGCGATTGCTTTATGATCAACTTATAGATTGAGCAACAGTGTGCAAGCTTGATGATATCATCAACGCATAGCAGGAATTCTTCTGGTGAATATGGTATAAGTTTTGTTGAGGTACTCACGATATGATAACGGCAATCAACAAATAGGTAGAACTATTATTTTCACGACACACCCAACACGATATCTCAATAAGGGTTTTGTTCTTCGAGCACCCTGGATGTCTCACTCGAAGTGATACCAGGTAATGTACTCTTTTAGCTTTTCAAACTCACAATCACAAAATCATTAACCTGACTTCCGGCGAAGACGCCGCCTGTCTTCCACCTCGGTCGGAAGTCGAATCATAAATTATTTCGAATTCTCACAGATGAATTCAGATTGTCTTCTTCTCATTTTACTTCTCCCGAAATTTGTCGCCACAATGGACATCCCGACAATAAACTTATGGATGTCCAATATGTACTGTCAAGTATCCGGTATGGACATCCAAGTGGATATTCGATGTGCGTCCATGGACATAAATAGGCTTCCAGATGGAGTACACACTATATCATAAGCTGGACTTACAAAGATGCACATTGAAGGACTTCAAATGGATATTAAATGGATGTCCTCTGGATAACGTGTGTTATCATGGTAGCTCAGAGGGGGTGCATATCCGGTCACATGTTTGTATGAAAAAAAGTCTTATTTTGATCCCAACAATACATCCAATACGAAATATTTACATCTAATTTTGAATCACCCTGTATATACAGGGTTTTGCAAAGTTCGATCGACAACGCTTCACGGGTAATATATAGCCAACGTAGTTTGACGATAAATTAGATAACATCCTAAAATGGTTAGTTTTTTGAGATACAGGGTTTTGAAACAAAGAAAAAACTCGTTTTGAGGAAGATCTCGAGAACTGCTGAATTTTTCTCAAT